TATATATATATGTGCGAAGCTGAATGCACTGATGCATACCATGCACAGTGGAGTCGTTTAATTTCAAACATCAAATGTAAGCCTACGCATTAATTACCACATTTATTTATCAGAAGACTTATCATTTAAGTATTAGTACAAAATACTTGAGTTTAACCTACGATGTTTCAATTGGACTGAAAATAATTAACTAATGGTTACTCCTATCCTATCATTTTACAAGATACACTTTATTTTTGGGTTTTATGAAAAATATGAACACTTTTTATATTAAACTCCGTTAATATTTAACTTTATGGCTTTATCTCTTTAGTTGTCATTTCACACTTTACTTTGAGAGAATTTATCTCCTTTCTTACTTTTTGGATTGGGGTTAAATTGTAAAACATCTAATCCTTTATTTTCTTAAAACCAACACTTAATTCAAATGTATCTTGTATTATGGGGATACTTTATTGTATTTTAAAAAATACTATTGAGTCACTAAGTATTAACCCCTATAAAACAAGGAATAAAAGGGCAGTGCCCAATGCACTTTGAAATCTCTCCAACGCGAGTCTGGAAAAAGCTCACCGCAAGAAATATGTATAAGAAGCTAGCCTCTTACTCGCTTTGGTTACTTCTCCGGCTGGCTACTTACTCGCTTTCTCTCCTGCCGGACCGCCAGGGAGTCGCCGGAACCTGGTGGGGTGGGGGGGAGGGTGAAGATCACGAGCAAGCGTGATTGTTACGAGGGGTTTTGAGGTGCAGGGTATCGGCCGGAGTCTTCGCCGGGGGATCACCGGAGCAGTCAACGGCTGCCACACGTGGCCTGTCAACGATTGGACCGCTCCTGTCCTGTCGATCACTGTGCACTGACGAAATTTTGATTTTGGCGCCCAGCTTGCTGCGGCGCTCCTGAAGAGATGGAGCATGGGCTGTTGCCCTAATGTAGTTTGGCATCTGGGCCCTGGGACAGACTGGCGCCCCTTTTTGCTGAAACGGGAAGAGCTGCCGAGCTGCAGTGGTTTTGGATTGAGCTGGACTTGGACTGATTTTAATTGGAACCCAGTTGGACTGTGGCCCAATATCTGATTTATTTTGCTTTGTTTTTGATACTCAGCCGGGGCATGTCCCGTGCTAGTTTTGATTTCTTTTGGGAAAAATAATTTCCTCTCCCCCCTACCCTCACCTTACCCTTACCGTGAGGTGAGGGTAGGGGGGGGGGGCGTGAACGGTAATTACTTTTTTAGGTTAGTTTACTAGCTTAGATTGTTGATTTTGACACATGTATTTTGTTACTTTTGGATGATTTTTTTAATATACTTACATTTCATCCAAAAATATAAGAAGCTAGCCTCTCCTTCGTACTCCCTCCATCCCTAAATATTCTTCAAAATTAAAGTGGCACGGTGATTAAGAAAGTAAGAATTGTGTGGTGGAGAGTTGTGCAGATGAGAAAGAAATGTTGTGAATCACAAATTCTTTACCAAAAAGGAAAAGTGAAATTCGTTTTGGGACGGACGAAAAGGAAAAGTTGGACGTAAATTTAGGGACGGAGGGAGTATAAAATATGGAATTAGTGAAAATATTTTGGAACAAGTCAAAATAGACTATGGCGAGGGTGGTGACATTTTGGCGCAAACAGTTTCATCTTTCAAAATTCAAGTTGAATAATTGAAGTTATTTCAAATTCATTGTATATACTATGTAGGGGGTGTTCAAAACTGATTCTGATTCTGCTTCTTTTTTAAAGCAGAATCAGAATCAATTTTCAGAAGCTGGTCACCTCAATCTTCTAAAAAACTGATTCTATGAGTAAATTAGAGCACCAGAATCACTTCTGCACTTTTACCCAAACACTCCAACTTCTGCTTCTGCTCCCTGAAGGAGCATAAGCAGTTTTAAGAATCAAATCCAAACACCCCCGTACTCCCTCCGTCCCGTTACATTCTCCTATCTTTTTTTTCGATCCGTCTCACTAAGATTGTCTCATACTCCGTACAAATTTGATAAAAATTGTGTGATTCTAAATCATTTTTACTTTATTCGTTATTACAATGTCAATTTAATATCAACCACATAAACGTACTTTTTTTAATAATTGTGTCACATCATCATATTCCAATGTTAGTGAGACGGGTATAATGAAACAAAAAAATTAAAATAATTAGTACTACCTCTGTGGACTTCTATACTACCTAAAATAAAACCACAATTCTTAGTGTACAAAAAATTTGAACGCATTTAATATACATTTGAACGTAATTATCTGTGCACGCAAACAATTGATGCACAATTTCCCTCTATACACATGTAACTAGGGAGTGTACACATTGTTTATGTGCACAAAAAATTATGTAAAAATGTGTGTCAAATATTTACAAATTTCATTGTACAAATAGAACTGTTCAAAATTTATGTGTAAAGAAATGTTTACATGGTAGTGTTTTTACCGTACGTTGTGGACAAGCTCGAAATTGGCCCCACTACTCACCTAGATAGTCAAAGTCAATACGGAAAGAGGTTGACACCTCATTCTTAGGACCCCTAATATGGATCGGACAATTAACTAAGAGCAAAAACGTTTTGAAATTCTAAAATTGGAGTATCATGTATTTTATTTCCTGAATATGAATAATCTGCCAAGTTTCGAAAAAAATGTCATGTTTTAAAGCTTAGTAATATCAAACTTGGCAGAAATTTACTCATATCCAAGGAATAAAAAACACGGTACTCCTATTTTAGAATTTCAAAACTTTTTTTTACTCCTATTTAGGAAATTCTCTCTTTGAATATCTCATACTCCTTAGATTTAAACTTAACCTATCGACGCGAGTAGGATTATTAAACGTTGGGGTACAGGTGGGCGTAGCTCAACTGGTAGCAAGAGAGTGCCACAAGGGTTAGGTCCCGGGTTCCGGGTTCGAATCCTGGCAACTGCGATGAGGGGTTACTATATTAAAAATGCATAGGGCTTCTGCAAGTACTGAGGACAGAGCCCACTCTTCGTCCGTCAGATTGTAATTATAGTCCAATTTACATCCTCTCAACGTACCGTTATGTCGGGTTTGAAGGGGCCCTAGGATGGGGGTCATCTTCTTTTTTATTAAACGTTGGGGTGAGTTTCTAATGTTCAAATCATGAAGCTATATATAGCTTTTGCAACTTAAGTCAAGGGAGGGGTGCAAGTTGCAACAACTCTATCACCCTATGCTAGCCGAGGGGGACCTCTCGAAATGTACTAGCTTAGACTATTCATTTGCATCCTCGTGTCGTTGAAACATCCAAACAAATATGGCAATGTTTCTTCCTATTTGTTGTGCTGCTACCTTTGAACACAAAGCTACGTACGTATGTCAAACAGTTTGGTTTTTGGATCTTCTTGTTCAAGTTGTATTCATTCTTTCGAAAACAAGAAACAAATATTTAAGTGTATCGATTCTTTCAAAGAGCAGAACCAAATAGTGAAGTGTATAGCAGTATAGATAAAGTGTGGAATTATTTCTAAGTGCTTCAAACTACTCGAGAAACGGTTTTTCAGAAGTTGAGAGAGTATCAACTTCTGAAAAACTGATCTTGATTCTACTTATTCTTTTTAAAAAGATGCACACACAGAATCAATTTCAAACATTCCAATAATATCATATTTAAGTTTCTTTGTAAAATGTGATTTTGGATAAACATGCAATAACAACGGAATTTTATCAATTCATGACTCAGAAGATAGATGAATTATCAATCCGGAACCCGAAAGATGATATGTATCAGTATAGGACCTGAATGATGGAAAACTATCAATTAATCTAGGACCTACACATTTCATAGGTTTTGTTTTATTTAATTTTTTATTAATTCCATTGCTAGTTTTTGATAAACTTGTCTTTGCTAAAGTTTATTAGTTTAATAAAACTAAATGATATTTAAAATTTTCAAAATAATAAAATTAATAAAATTCATGACAACTTAGGCCCTAGATCAATAATTTTAAATCATTCAGGTCCTATAATGATAGTTTTTCATCATTCTGGTCCTATATCGATACATTTCATCTTTTAGGTCCCGGATTGATAATTCATCTATCTTTCAAGTCCTGAATTGATAAAATTTCTATAACAGAAGATTTGATACGCGTTTTTTTTATATGTTATTATTGATGTCGACGACGTCTTTTTTAGTATGTTTTTCTATTGAAAACACTATTTTTCTGTGGAAAGTCACAAATATCGGTAGACTTATTAATTAATTACGGGATTAAATGTGCAAGTAAATAAAATTAAGGGAAAGATTCCGGAATAAGAGTAACAAGCTTTGAAATTTCCAAAAACATGAGTGACAGTGTAGTGTAGTATTTAGTGTCATCTTATAGTGATTTTTGTCAAGTAGTTGCAGTACTAGGCATTAAACATGGTAGTATTATTATCATTAATGACAATAATTTTCGATAATGGAGGTAACGACTCTTTTTTACGAAGAAAAACGCAGCAGTTCTATTTTATAATTTCAAAACTTGTTTACTCCTATTTAATTAGGGAAATTTTTTAAAATTAAAGGACTAATATTAGACTCAATAAAAAAATTACAATATGAAACACTTTAATTTATCCTTTTTTATCGCTTCAAATTTTATTCCTCAGAGTTCATTTTTCTTTAGGAAAATTGATAGATGTATGACAAAGAAAAGTGGTGATTTGTAAAATCTGACTGAATAGCTTTTTCTTCCTCAAATTATTGGTGTTTTATATGTATATGGTATGTATTTTGATCCTACTTATTCCCTCTTGAATCAAATTATTACTCATATAAAGTGATGATTAAGTTCCTAGTCATATATTATGAATCTATATGAATGATTTAGTGTAAATTTCCCTTTTATTTATTTTTTTCATTTTTGCAAATTATAATGGTCAAACAATTATTTCCTTTATGTTTTAAACTTTATATTGTGCAAAATTAAACTCAAACGTATCTTGTATTTTTGAAATAGTAAGTAGCGCAGCATGGGCACGAAAGTACCCAACCTGGTTACGGGAGAGGCCAGTCTGTCGAGCTAAGAGGTGTTTATCTGCATCACTGGGGTACCTGCGAAAGAGACCCCAAATAATTACATCAAAGGCTCAAATCCCTCACCTATAAGGCTGGCAATATCATCTGCATCTGAGGATAACCAATCAACCCAAATCGAAAATATGGATGAAAACTCGAAAAATTATGGATGAAAAATGGATGATGGGTGGATTGAAAGACGGGTTGAATCCGGTGTGGATGAACACTCAACCAACCCATCACCTGACCCGTCACCCGCTCCATCCACCCACCCACTAACCCACATATAATTGTATATATAATAATTAAAACGGAGTATTAATATATTAATTAATATATATGTATTTTGTTAATGGAAAAGATACATATCTATGAATTAGTGAAATAAAGACAATACAAGAGTTTCAAAAAATGGCAGTTGAACTACAAATATAGTTTGGCTCCGATGCAGAAATGTAGAATTTAAAAGCTTGAAGAAGTTTTATGTATATTATGTTTGACAATCGTTTCTTTCTTTATTGACAGTGAATTAGTGATTGCAATATACTTAAGTGTTCAAGTTTTTGTTGTTATTGTTCAACGAATCTTAATTTTTGCTTTTTAATTGTCATAAAGTCTGTTTGGTAGCACAAAAATCGGCTGATTTGACTGATTCTGCTGAAATTTATGAAGTTTTGGCTGAAGTGGCTGCATTGGCTGATTCTGCCGTTTTAAAAAAACTATTTTTAAAATATAGTTTATTAATAAAATAAAGAAAAAATTATATGTAAAAATAGCTAAAAAGGTCATCTACAGTAACTTCAGCTAACACAGCAAGAAAAGTAACTTCAACGTTACTTTTTGTGCTTATTACACGATTCAGCGCGCGAAAGAAAAAGTTACGTTTTTTGTGAAAAAATTGGATGATAAGTCTGATAAGCCGAAAAACAGTGTTGCCAAACGGCCTCATAATTTATCTTTATAATAATTTATTTATTTTAGCTTTCAAGTTAGACCATCTATATTCACCCGCTACTCACACAATCCATCCGATAACCCGTTCATGATGGATGAGTTGGATGTGAATGTAATTTTTAATGGATGATGAACGGATGGGTGAATTATGAAAAATTAACGACTGGACGTGGATGAACCTTCACCCGGTATAAATTCGACCTGCTGTCACCCCTACTCACCTAAACTTTACACTATTACCTCAGTCCTACAATATCTAAGATAGCAAAAGGTAACACACATATTACCAAAAGTAGAATCGTCTTGATTATTGCGTTTTCACTTTTTTATGGTCTTTCCGCAAAACCGTCTAATGAATTAGGAGGACCCGATTTCAAATGTAAAATCGAGACCCCGCATTAGAAAAAAAAATCTCAATCCAAATACTTATACTAAAATCAATTAAATACTCAATAAATAATGTAATAAAAAATTCTAAAACTTACTCAATACTCATAAAATAACGCAACTCAATATTCAAGCAATTCGAGTAAAAAAGAACTAAAAACACCAACAACAAAAATGATGGATCTATATATTTCTTCCTCACTAACTGTATATTACTGATTAATATTGATATAAAATATTACTATATAATACCCCTCCGTTTCTTGAAATTTGCCATCTTTCCTTTTTTGCTTGTCCCACTAACTTTGCCACTTTCCCTTTTTAAGTAAAGAATTTGTGGTTTCGGTTATTTAACTTTACTAGACGATTTTTACTTTATTAATCCTCGTGTCAGTCAAATTTGGGAAAATTTTAAGGGAAGGAGGAACTATTAATACTCCCTCGGATTGAAAAGAAGTTTCACCTTTCCTTTCGAGCAGATTCAAAATTAAGTTCCACTTTCATACATTTTCTTATTTGGCAAATTATCTATATCAAAAAAGTGTCAAACAATGCCAAATAGTGTTCAAACAGTGCCAAACAGTGCACTCCACAGTAAAGTCAAATTTATTTTCTTAATATGTGTGAAGTCAAATGTGGAACTTGTTTATGAATCGGAGGGAGTAATTTTTTAAAAATCAGGGGCCTCATAAATTGGGAGGCCTATTCTGGATAACCTATTGAATCCCTAAAAAACGCTCTTGTTCTTCCTGCAATGTTTTCGATGGTTAAAATCATCGGAGACGAACCACAACTGGTCATGAAATATTAATTAAGTACCAAAAGTGGACAAAGTTAAAGACGTGACTTAAATATGGAATCGACAAAAAACTTGTAGGACGAAAAGTGGAATTATTTCAATTCATAAACTCTAAATGAATTTGAATCATAAAAATATTTTCACTTGTACTCCCTAATACTTATGGGACAAATTTAGTTGGATGGTAAAAGCTTAAAAATTTGATAAAGATAGTAAACAGTGGACTACATAAAGACTGGTCAACTTCAGAGGAAATGGCTTACTTAAAATTAGTTAGAAAATGAGGGAGGAAAAAGTGAGGGAAAATTCCTATTTGTCTCTATATATAATTGGAAGAGAAAATTAATTTATCAGGGGTAAATAAGTAAAACTAGTGAGATATAGGCGTGAGAGAATCTAAACCTGCAATAGCCTTATACGTAGTGTATAAGTTGTGTCTCAGGTCTGCAACAGAAATAGCAGTAGGGCAGTATATATATATCATATGGATAGTACAGCAGAAGTAAAGACACAGGAGGACTGCATGCATGCCTGATCCCCGCCCGGTCTCTCTTTCTCCATTATCTATTGGTCCCAACTATGTACTCCCTCCGTTCCTAAAAATTCTTCCCGGTTTGACTTGGCACACTTATTAAGAAAGTGGAATAAAGTGGAAATGTATGGTTGTGTTTGTGTAAGAAAAAGGTAAAATGAATGTGAGTCACACAAATTGTCCAAAATGGGAAAGTGGAAAGTATTTTTGAGAACAGCCCAAAAAGGAAAGTGGGAAGTATTTTTGGGAACGGAGGGAGTATTTCTTTAATTAACCATATAACCCGTAGGCGTAGCTCAACTGGTAGTGAGGAGTGCTACAAGGTCATGTCGTTGTCACATATTTATTTTTAAAAAATAAAATCAAATCTTATCAAATCCCCCTCAACCATGATCTTTATTTACTCAGATTTTTGTGGAACTTCTTGCTATATACAATGAGGTATTTTAGTCATTCCAAATTAAAAGTCATTCCTTGAATGATCTAGGATTTGATATTGATATCAGATTTTCTATCTAAATAATCTTTCAAAATAATTTCATCTTCCTCAACCATGATCTTTAAAAAAATGTTCCACATCATCAAGATGATCCCCAAATATACTCATGGATGATGACGCCCTAAAAGGATTAGTACTGATATTATAAATTTATCATAAAGTTCATCAGGAAATGTCTTTAACTTTTTTAGAAAGTTACATCATCTTTATATTTTTTCTTACACCTGTAGTACGTAGTAATCAAATTAAATGGAAACCAAATGCAAATACTACATACTATATAGCTAACTATTAACTAACCTAAGCTAGCTAGCTTAATGTCCAAATGCATGGAAGGTCATCAGAATGACTTGGTGTGCAGTTGTGGGGTATAGATATGAATCAGATCCCAAGAAAGAAGAAGATGAGAAAAAGAATAAAGTCATGAAATGCATAAACTTTTTCAGCTTTTTATAAAATGGAGTAACTTTTTCCTTTTTCCACTTGATAAAACATAAAAAATGCTCAGATCAGTATTATACTACGTATGACTAATGTTTATGTGTATTAGGGTGTAAAGTTTGGAGTACTAATTAACATATATGACTGTTGTTTTGGATTGAATCTATCAAAATTTTCTTCAATGCATACAGTTTTCCTTTAACATTTGCTTTAATTTTTTTTTCTTGGAAGTGTTAGGTACTTACGGGTGTAAAAAATGCTCAAAGAGCCAAGACCTCAAGATGTTAACTGAACGTTCCGGTAAGCCTCGTTGGGGCCTCCAAGCTTCTTGCTCCAACATTCCCATTTGATGAAATTCCCTTTGCTTCCTTAGGGTTTGTTCAAGCATCTTAAGCCTTGGAGTCTCTCCTTTTGTCAAACATGATGACATCCCGTCCGAGTCTTTGTCTCCCAAAAGCTCGCAACTGTGTTTCAGCTGCGAGCTTATGGCGTCCTTCAAGCACCGGAAGTGCTGAGACATTGCTCGTTGGGCGAGAGACGTGTATGGCATCGATGCTCCGAATCCCATCACCAAATCAAATGAGTTCACAACTATCTGCAATTGTTCACAATAATGGTTGTATCTTCGGTGCACCTGAATGAGCAACACTTTAAGATCATAATACTATATTGGGATATACGAAGTATTAAAGAGAGACACACATATATGGATTACATTGGCGACTTGGTTGAATATAATCTTTATTACTCTTTGATCCTAGTGCACTGTCACATAAATGCTTGACTAATATTCAAAACCTAATTATTAGTTCAATGAGTTTTATAAAAACAACCATGCTTGATGTACACATCTTATACACACCATATTTGTGAAGCTTTTTTTTGTCTGTGAACCCGATTCACAGACAATATTTTGTTTGTGCAAAACATTGTCTGTGAATCGATGTTCACAGACAAAAAAAAAAGCTTTCACAGACATAGGTGTGTACAAAAGTGTGTATAAGAGTGTGTACAAACATCATTTTTGTTATAAAAATACTCTTTCCATCTCCAAAAATGTGTTTCCTCTTTTAGCTGAATGTAGTTTAAATAATACACCTTCCGTCCTTTAAAACTTTGACAAGTTTGACCGACACCAAAAATAATAAAGTAAAAATTGTGCGATTGAGACTTGTGCAAAGGAGAGAGAAATAATTGGAACCACAAAAAATTGTTTAAAAAGGAAATTAGCTTAAATGACGGAGGGAGCATCTCAAAAAAATTCTTTTATTTTTTGAAAATTTCTTAAAAGTTGTCATGTCAAACATAGAACTAGAAACTTAATTTTAGAGTTTTGTTAAATAGTACAAAGTTAAAAGGTAAAGACTTGAGCTCGACAAACATGCATATACTAAGAAGATACTCCTTATTTTATTTTGGAACCAAGGAAGTACTATATTGTACTAACAGGTTAGAGTATTCTCTAAGAAACATGTTAGATTAGAACACACTAATAGTTGAAAGTAGATAAAACGTTTTGGGAGGAAGTTATCCAGCTCAGCTGATCGCCGACTCATTCTCCTTTATAGGAGGTCGCACGTTCAATTCTCAATGGAGTGAGATTGATCCCAGTTTACTTCAGGTCCTCCAAACCCCCCTCTCCCCAACGCCCTCTGAGGTAAAAAAAAAGTAGATAAAAAGTTTTAGATCAAATAATTATTTTGCACTAAAGTTGAGATTTTTTCATTAAAATCAAATTTACGGGAGTGGTTACTATACTATACAATCTTAAAAATCACGCCTTTAACCTTAAGCTAATTAATATAATTGATTGCTCATTCATGAAAATAATACATGAGAAAATTCCTAAAATACGATTAATTTATACGACTAGAGTATGTTTGCACAACTAGCTGAAAAGATACTTTTGTGAGCTTTTTAATAACTGTTAGCTTTTAACGACTGAAAAGATTTTGAAGAGAAAAGGTGATAGTTGTTTGGTTTTAGTGACTGAAAAGATCTTGAAGAGAAAAGCTACCACATTTTTTTCAGTCACTAAAACCAAACAACTATCACATTTTCTCTTCAAGATCTTTTCAGTCGCTAAAAGCTAACGGTTATTAAAAAGCTCACAAAAGTATCTTTTCAGCTAGTTGTGTCAAACATACCCTAAGTATCTGTACTAGCTGTCTGGATATTATCTTGCATGTTTGCTCTATTTTAATGAAAGCCATTTTATGATCAAAAAACATTTTTACTCGTGTTACGGATTTTTAATTTTCTCTTTAATCAACCTATTCTTTTAATAGAACTAAATGAGTCAGATTCAAAGAATATACTTGTACATTTGATTTTATTTTCTCATGTTTTAATTTAGATCTTTTCTTGAGCAATTTCTTTTTTATGGAAAAACCCATATTAATATCATTACGATTCAAATCATCACAACAAACTCAAAGTGACAAAGACTGACAATAACTATATATCCGTAACCAATTAGCACTATCAATCCTACAACTAGACTCAGAAATGATAACCCCTGAAAGAGCAATACGAATCGCTAACCATTAAACAGTTGTGACTCAATAATCAGTGGTCATATAGATCGAGCAACTTTTATTAATAATCCATTTAGCATTTTGAAAAGCAAATGAGTGAATGACAACAGAAAAATCCAAATTAGGACATGCATGTGTTAATGTGTATTATGCGTATGATCAGTCGCTGTTGTGTCTATACTAATTTTGAGAAGAGATCAAGACTTGTAGTAGCTAAGTGATTTGAGTTCTCAACAGCCGCATGCAAGTGAATAAATCTTCATTCCCAAGTTTTACCAATATTTTTAATTACGCAACAAGGAACGTAATAATAATAATCACAAAATGGCCTGATCGAATCGAGAAGCCTGGAGATGAGTAATTAAGGTAGGTTATCACCTATTGGAAGACTTAATTGTGTTTCGTTTTCAAAATAACTGAAATGTAAATTAAATATGAAGCCATACTAATAATTAATCAGATAACTTTCACATTAACTGAACATTTTCTGGAACAAACTTGTAATCAAAATAAAAATTAACAAATGAAAAAGTATTTCGCTGACCTTTATCTACCAAATTAAATTTCAAAAAAAAAATGAAATATTAATACAGAGTACAAATATAATATAACTTCTTAGTAAACGAACTAAATTGATAAATTCGGATGTTAAACATAGATATCTACCTGTCCTTTTAAACCGAAAGCTAATACTTCCTCCGTCCCTATATAGAAGTATCTATTCGTTTTCCACACATTTTAAGAAAATGGGTTTGGTTGGTACTGTTTGGCACTGTTTAGACACTGTTTGGCACAGTTTTGCACAGTTTTGCACTGTTTTGTTTGCCAAAAAAAGAAAGGGAACTTTTATTTAGGGACGACCTGAAAAGGAAACATATGCTTTTATTTAGGGACGGAGGGAGTAGATATATATGCAGTACAAATGACAAAGAAAGCTATTTCTGGAGGGGGAACATATGCTATCGTATAATGAAATGAAGAAATTGAATAAAAGGAAATTTAACTACCAACGATGGAAACCTGATCCTCATCTTAAATCTGAGCAATTTATTAGTGTCTGACACTAGTTTTTAAGGAATGAAGATACAAATTTATATAATTTCCAGCTAAATTTGTGATCAAAAAATATGGTTATGCTTTAAAAAATTCTTTTCAATTTTAAATCTGTAAAATCTTAGCCGAAATCCATCTTTTGGTTATGCATACGTATTAAAGTTGTTTTCTGTTTGAATTGGCTCAAATTGGTGAAGATGACTACTCTTTCTATATGTTCATACTTCATATATGTATATATATTTTTGAATTTAAAATATAATTTCACAATAAAAAATTCTCCATTTAAGTGTATTTGCTAATTCAACTCTCAAAATGGACAAAAAGTAGAGTATGATGGAATGGAGCATTTCATTGTGAAACACGCTATAGATAATTAGTCGGCATTTATATTGCGATCAGTGAGAAACAAAAATATCTTTAAATTTATACGGTCGTAAGTACACCACTGTCCCATCTTCTAATAGTTAGTAACTTAATGATTACTCTCGTGCCTCACCACACCAAAATAAAATAAAGTATTCCGTATAAATCACAATGATGCTTTGTGAAGTTTTTGAAGTATAAAGTATCTACCCATTCTTATACTTATTCATGTGTTTGTGAAGTTTTTCTATCTATGATCCACAGACAATTGTCCCTTGAAATTTTGTCAATTTTGACCAGCATGAGGATTAATAAATTAAAAACTGTGTGGTAGATGTGTATGCAGAGAAGAGAGAATTAATTGGAACCACAAATTCTTTACTTAAAAGAGAAAGTGACAAAAATAGTGGGACATCCAAAAAAGAAAAGTTGACAAAGTTTTAAGGGACAGAGGGAATATGTTATTTTGTCTGTGCAAATTTTGCACAAACAAAATATTATTTGTGAACATAACTCACAAACAAAAAAACCTTCACAAACAAGGTTGGTATAAAAGTGGGTACAAGCATCATTTTTGTACAAATAATTAGCACCCACCAATATTTACCAAAGACTAATAAAATTGTGATTAAACATGTGCTCAGTGAACACTACTACAAACATATGCATCCATACAGCCGCCACCAGTTTTGTAATTATTGTTCCAACCCAAAATTATAGGTCTCTGAACTGTTTTGATTAAAGTGAGTGGAAGGATAATACAATTAATGATTTGTGAATTAGGTGATCACAATTAACTAAGATAGATTAGTTTAAAGCGGGTAGCTTGTACTATTATTGGAAGATTAAATTAATTCAAACTTCCCGCTCTCTTTTTTTGGATGTCCCAGAAACAAGTTCCCATTTCCTTAAATGGCAAGTTAATCTACATCAAAACAGTGTCAAACAGTGCAAAACAGTGCCAAACAATGTTGAAACAGTGCCAAAACAGTGTCAAACAGTGTTGAAACATTGTCAAAACAGTAAAATTTACCTCATGGTAAGCTTATTTCCTTAATATGTGTGTAGGTCAAATTGTGAAGTTCATTGTGAGACGGAGGGAGTAGCTTATTATAATTATTGTTATACAGAGTAATAATTATGGAGGACTCCCCGAAAAATGACTCTTTTTTGGGATGTTTTATTTATCAAATTATGAAAGATGATTTTTTTAATAGACGTCCAAAAAAAGGGTGCATATCAATTACGGACAGAGTGAGTATGACACTACTTTTGTCTCGGTAACAAAAAAAGGGTGCATATCGATTAAAAAAGTCTGCTTATTTAATTGATATTGAATTGATAAAATAAGAATAAAGTAGAAATGATTTATAATAATCACCTAAATTTACTAAATAGTAAGAAACAAACCATCTTAATGGGACAGACTACCATTCTCAAAAAAGGATAAACAATCCTAAACTTGAACCCTCAGCCTCTCTCTCCGGATATGTTCAGTTCGGAGTTTCTCGAATCCATTCGAGAAAGTGAAGGCAGCAGCGGGATGATGGTAATCTCTAGACATATAAAGAGAAATGGCCGGAGAAGGCCGCCGGACTATACCACTGTATCCATCTTCGTCAGAATATAATCAACAATGGCGAGGCCCGCCGGGCAAATAACGAAGAAGATAAATAACCTTGCTCTTCTTCTTGCTCTCTGATTTCGTTTCTCGCTCACAAGATTTTTCTTTATGCTTTTTTGTTTTTCCAGATTCGCACTATATATGGGTTCCTTTTAGCGTTTTACGTAATACGAGTACTAGTAAGTTTTAACTAAAACATATGCCATGATTGCCATCCCCTTTATACCAAAGGAACTTAATTACTCTGTATTAACGATTTAGCACGTAGTCCTAATTAAATCACCATTTTAAATCTGGTTTGTTTAAGTTTCATGCGATTACTTTGATAGATGTATGATCTATAAGTAAGATAGTGATACGGAGTACTATTTTATAACTTTCAAAATTTGGTTTTAACCGATCTATATACTTTTGGTCAGGTTTGTGAATGAAAGAAATCCAAATAAAACATCCTAATAATTTGATCATGCTTAGGTCTTTATCTCTAGCAATAAAACTTTATGCTTTTAATTATTTTCTACTGGTATGTTTTTAATTGAACAAATTTCAATATTAAACTAGATTAGGTTAAATCCAAATTTAAATTTCAATATCAAATTTAAATAGACCATATCAATTCAGAATAGACATGCCAAAAAAAGGACCCTCAATGACCCACACCGTCTTGCAAATGGGGCAGGTCCGTCCCACCCATATAATGAGGTGGTTCCGAGTATTAGACCATTCAATAATGCTTGGGGTACACAAGTTGTACACAACTTGTACACAAAATGTCGGTCACAGACAATTGGTACGGAATTGTCTGTGTACACAGACATTTTTGTTTGTGTCCACACACATTTACTTTTTTTGTAAAAAGTAGAATGACAGCCGTCTCACACTGACATCAACTTGCAAATCAATCAATATATGTGCAGTGCCTGTGTCCACAAATAATATTTTCATGTTGCACAGACAATTATTTAATTTGTCTGTGTGCACAAACAATATTTACCACACAGACAATAGTTGTGCGTCTCACAGACAGTAGTTGTCTGTGTGATCAAATTTAGTTATCGGTGTGATCAATTTCAATTGTCTGGGTGAACAAAAAATTTAATTGTCTATATATATATATATATATATATATATATATATATATATATATATATATATATATATCCAAATGATGGAGTATATGGGTCTAGGCCCCAGGACCCACATACTCAGAAGAACAGAAGGTACCATGATCACTGGGTGACCTCGTCGGCCATGCCCTCATCGGCCATGCTCTCATCGGCCAGAAAGAAGACCACCCAGAATATGATCCAGAAGCCCGGAGAACCGGGTGACCTCGTCGGCCATGCCCTCATCGGCCATGCCGAACGAAAGAGCTTGCGAGGAAGAGATCACGCAAAGGTAAATCACATATCGGCTCTTCATCTCAAAGTCGAGATGATTTTGATACGGGTTACGCAGGGAGGGATGGGGATGCGATGACCGACGAACAACTAGAACAAGAATTGCACCGACATAATTCCCGCTTTTTTCAAGACCAGCCGAGGACCATTGACGAAGAAGAGCTCGAGGACGAGGACGACGATGTGGAGGAAGTAATTCCGGAGAGCCACGACGACGAGGAGGAGGAGGGTGGCGGGAAAAGAAAGAATGTTCCCGGGTTTAGCAAAGATGGCTAAGCAAGTGCTATCAATGCCGGTTTCAACGATTGCCGTGGAACAAGAATTTAGTTCAGCCGGCAATGTCCTAACACAAACCAGAACGAGGTTGAGCGCTGAATCTCTTGATATGCTTATATGCTACCACGATTGGTTGAAAGCAGCCCGTAGAGCTCAAGAAATTGACATCACCCCATCCCAACACTTTATGGATGAATCTACAACCGAGGGTGGCTCTACCTATGCCGGAGATTCCGATTGAAATATTGAATGATTGATTAGTATTTCATGTTTTAAAAACAATTATAGTTCCTATTTAATTTTCAAATATAGTTCCTATTTCATTTCAAATAAATGCACTTGAAGTTTGTTTTTTAATACTTGTATAAAACTATAAAGTATAAAATATAAATTAAAAAAAAATATTTAACCGGCCCGGCCCGACCCGAAGGGTGGCCCGGCCCGGCGGGTGGCCTGACCCGTGACCCAGGCGGGTGGCCCGGCCCGAACCGGACCCGTCCACCCTTCAGGCCGGTCCCGGGCCCATGTGATACGAACCGGCGGCCCAACCGGGCCCGACCCGGCCCGAATCCACCCCTAATTTCGTCTGTGCCAATTTGATCTTGTTGGTAGAATGGTAGGGATGGACCCAACCGGTTCAGCCTGACCCGCTACCGTGCGGGCCCAATCTGGAACCGGCCCAGCCCGCTACTGTGCGGGCTCGGACCGACCCAGTTGGTGCTAACCGGGATCGGGCTTTAACCCGGTTGGGGCAGGTTGGGTGGGCCGGGCTCAGGCCATGATTTCTTGAACCGACCTGGTCGGTCAGGCCGGGCCCGGGCTTTTTTTCAATTTTTTTACATTCCAAATTCCGAGGCATTACAGGGCAACTTCAGCAAGTGTAAGTTTGGACTCTACGAGCCAACTTTTCCATTTTTTGGGCTTTTCTCCTTAGTTTGTATACAGTAGGATAAAGAATTAGTGGAATTATTCTGGAATTTAGAAACTTTTGGGATCCAATTGATCTTCCTGGTCTCACATTCTTACACCATTCAACCACAAATAGCTTTTCTAGAGGAAACCCAGTAATAAAGGTTCGATTGAAAGATTCAAAGCTATGCTCTTTTCCAGTGTTTACACACAAGATTGGGGAATGGTATTTGTATACTTGTTCTCTCAAGTGAATGGTAACTGGTAAGACCGTATTTCTAATGGCAATTTGAATAAAAGATATATGACCAAGTCCACTGTTCACCGTCCACGGATCAAATGCAACAAAGATGATCCAAGGAGCTACTGTAGTTTGGAGTAGTATTTTATTACAACAGTAATTTGTATCCGGGAGAATATAATTAAAAAATACTAGGGGATGAATCCCAACTTGCAACAACCATATGATAAAACCCCCAAAACTATAATTTTTTTCACTAAACCAAGGATAAAACGAAGTTTTATCTTCCCATTTTGACTGCTTCATTACTGCGGCATATTCTTGCTAACATGTTCTAACTTCTAACATATATTTCAAGTACCTGTCAACAAAGAATTTCATATCACTAAATGTGGTTAAATCTCTGAATGGGAAAATGGGGATTTGATGCTAGAGAAGTTGACATAACCAAGAAACAACAAAGTGTATGTCCCAACATGAACACTAAAACAAATCTATGTAGTCATCAGCAACCACAATTTGAATTTTATCCACACTGATGATATAAGAGTTCCCCAGTAAAAATTGATGCAGAAAACAAACATACATGCAGGCACAACATAATAAAGCTCAAGCATGGAAATTCCAAACTGCAAAACATGGAATCACTGTGAGAAAAAATAAACCAATACACAATCTATATGCTCTATTTGTTAACCTGCGTGGAAATATTTATATTAGGAAAAGATTTGGCTACATTAGTTTCAGAAATATATCTGTTAGATTATTGGACTTATACTACATGTAATATTCACAATATATTATTTATTGGGTTTAATTGTATGTTATATGTTATCTTATATTTAGGCCCAAAAATTAGTGGTCCTATGGATATTAATTTAAGTGGGCTAATAAGTTATCTAATAAGGTATAGGGCCCAAATGTGTAGAGACCCATGGGCTTGACCTAATCAATGATGGGCTGATTAAGGTTAAGCACTCTTTATAAATAAGGGGTTATGGTCCCTAGTTGAACACGTCATTTCGTCTTTCTGCATCCCATCGCTAGAGAGATAATCCCGAGGGTGTGTATCAACTAGAAGACGCAAATCCTAGCCTCCGTCTCCCGGATCCCTAAAGATCATCTCCTATGGAGTCGGGTACGCTTCCGCTTAGTTAATTTCTCTAGATAATTTCAATATGAAGATTAAAGTATTATCGGATTTATTCCAACAATTGGTATCAGAGCCTCCTTAAAGTATTAAAGTATTCATATTTTTGTTTCAATCCTACACGATTGAATTTGTGAAATTTGTTTTGTTTTTACTCAATCGTATTCATCATCTACGATTGGAGCATGGGAATGTTTTTTTTAAATCCAACATATCTGTTTTGTTTTGAATGTGACAGTTCGGATTTTATTTATTTTTTGGCACTTCAATCCCATATGCGATTAGCCGATTTACAATGGAATCAGAATTCATATGAATCTGTATTTTGATAATCGTATCGGCCATGATCGATCTGCAATATGTGATGGAATTAATAGAATATTCTTGATTTTATTTTTCTTTTGAGATTCAATCGGCACTCAATTGATTAGAAAATTATAGTGGAATTGTTTTTTTTTATGTTGCTGATCTTGAAGTGCCGAAGGGTTAATCTTCTTTTAGTTTTGTTAGTCAATCTCACGATTGATTATTTTGGGTATGTGTATTCTCCTTGATTTTTAGAATCAGTGGAATGGTATTCGGCCGACACTCAATCGATTCAAAAATTACAGTGGGAATTATAAAATTCTCTTTATGGTGTATAGATCTTGAGTGCTCAATAGTTAATCTTTTTTTTTCTATGGCTTTTGGTAATTAAGTACATATATATGATTATTACCGGTTTTGGTAATTAAATACTTAGATGTAATTACGACCAACATATCAGTTCTATTAGAATTACATATTTGGGTATTATTGAAATATATTACTTTTGTTGGTGGACATGATTTGCGACTTGAAAATATGTATTACGTGTTATGAATGTATAAACCCTATTTTGCGATGACACAGCGATTGGGTACGGGTTTTACAAAGTATCGTTATACATAACACATTTGCAAGTGATTCAGAAAAATTCGCACAATTTTATTTTTTCAGATTTTTTGATTTAATATTAGCATGTCTAGTATTGGGGTTAGTTAATTGACACAACATGCTGCCAAAGTAGCCTCTCTTGTTGAAATTAATTAACTCATGTATGAAGATGATTGTGTACTTTCTTACTTCATGCGGATAATAATCGGCCCAAAGGAAGGTTATTATTTGGCCGAAATTTAAGTACATTTGTGATAATAAAATTTGTGATGATTATGAAGTTTTTCGTGTGAATATTAAGTCGGTACAAAGAAAGGCTTAATATTTGACATGATTTTATTATCAAAATTTTATTATCACACCAAGAGTACCACTTGCAAGTCTAATTTATGTCCAAAGACAAGATCAGATGTTGTGCTAGGTATCTTGTGATGGGGATTGCTAATATTTAAATTTAAAATTAATTATCAAATTAATTTCAGTTCCAAGAGCATATCATTTATATTATTTTTCGTTCTCTTTCAGTCAACAATTCTGCTGCTACAATATCTGCTAATATTAATAGCATCCCAGTGCTTAACGGCACGAATTTTAAGGAATGGAAAGAGAACGTTATGATCGTTCTCGGTTGCATGGATCTAGACCTTGCACTTCGGACTGAGAAACCCGCCGCTCTTAAGGACACATCTACCCTTGATGAAAAAAGGGAGATGGAGAGGTGGGAACGCTCAAACCGCATGAGTCTAATGATCATGAAACGTGCAATTCCAGAATCATTCAGGGGCACAATGTCTGATGAGGCTGATGCCAAATCGTTCCTTGCCGAACTTGAAAAAACGTTTTGCTAAAAACGAAAAGGCAGAAACTAGTACTCTTTTGAGCACTCTTGTTTCCATGAAGTACAAAGGCAAAGGGAACATAAGGGAGTACATTTTGGAAATGTCTCATATTGCTTCAAAACTAAGTGCACTAAAACTTATTTTACCTGAGGAATTGCTTGTGTATTTAGTTTTGATCTCTCTTCCTTCTCAATTTAATCAATTTAAAGTCAGTTACAACTGCATTAAGGAGAAATGGTCTCTCAATGAGCTCATTTCTCATTGTGTTCGAGAGGAAGAGAGAATAAAGCAAGATTAGACAGAAAGTGCTCATTTGGCATCTACCTCTAAGGGCAGCAAGAAAAGGAAATTTAAGGAAGCTGCAAATTCAGGGCCTCCCAGGAAGCATCGTAAGGAAACTAAGGAAGAAACTAAGGAATCTGGATGCTTCTTTTGCAAAGGGACTAATCACAAGAAAAAGAACTGCACCAAGTACCACGCCTGGCGTGCGAAAAAGGGTATGTCTCTTGCTCTTGTTTGTTCTGAGGTTAATTTGATTTCGGTACCAAAAGACACTTGATGGGTAGATTCCGGTGCTACTACTCACATAAGTGTATCTATGCAGGGTTGCCTGAGCTGCCGAAAACCAATTGATGGTGAAAGATACATCTATGTCGGTGATGGCAAGCGGGTTGAAGTTGAGGCTATCGGTGTTTTTAGATTATTATTAAAGAATGGTTTTTATTTGGATTTGAAAGAGACATTTGTTGTGCCGTCATTTAGGCCGAAATTAATTTCTATTTCTGCATTGGACAAATTTGGTTATTCTTGTTCATTTGGAAATAGTCAGTTCAGTCTATTTCAAGATTCAAAACTTATTGGTACTGGTCTTTTATCAGTTTATGATAATCTATATTCACTTGATATAAATACCTCATATAATGAAACCTTGCATGTAAGTACTCGTGGTACTAAAAGAAAATTAACCAATGAGAATTCATTTTCACTTTGGCACAAGCGTCTAGGACATATTTCTAAAGAAAGAATTCAGAGACTTGTGTCAGATGGAATTCTTGGTTCTCTTGATTCCTCAAATTCTGATATTTGTGTTGAGTGCGTTAAGGGAAAACAAACGAACAAACGGAGATTAGGTGCCGAGAGAGCTTCAGATCTATTGAAATTGATATATAAAGACATTTGTGGACCATTCCCTACACCATGTAGAAATGGTCAAACATATTTTATCACATTCATAGATGATTACTCTCGTTATGGTTACCTTTATCTCATTCATGAAAAGTCCCAATCAATAGACGTGTTCAAATCTTATAAGGCCGAAGTTGAAAACCAATTAGGCAAAAGAATAAAAACCATTAGATCTGACCGTGGTGGTGAATACTATGGTAGATATGATGGTTCTGGTGAACAACGTCCAGGGCCCTTTGCTAAATTCCTAGAGGAGTGTGGAATTGTTCCTCAATACACCATGCCAGGAACTCCTAGCATGAATGGTGTTGCTGAGAGACGAAATCGTACATTGAAGGACATGGTTAGGAGTATGATTTGTCATACTACTTTACCAGATTCCCTCTGGGGAGAGGCACTGAAAACTGCAGCTTACATACTTAACAGAGTTCCCACTAAAGCTACAAGTAAAACCCCTTATGAAATTTGGACTGGAAAGAAACCCAGTATAAATCATTTCCATGTTTGGGGTTGTCCATTTGAGGCAAGGCCTTATACGCCAAATGAAAAGAAACTGGACTCAAAAACAGTTAGTAGCTATTTTGTAGGATACTCTGAGAGGTCAAGGGGGTATAAATTTTATGATCCCACTACCAGGACTATTTTTGAGACGGGTAATGCTCGGTTCTTTGAGGATATTGAGTTTGGGGGGTGGGGAGATAAGGTTAGAGATTTTGTCTTTGAGGAAGAACATGTTACTCTTCCTTCAGTTGTCATTGAACATGATCAAGATATGTTTATTCCTAATGATGTTCAAGAAACAACTCCAGTTCATGACAATCTCGAAAACATCCCCAATCAAGTACCTGAATTTATTAATGAGGATCAAACTCAACAACCTCAAGAACCTGAGGTGCCATTAAGGAGATCCACTCGAGAGAGGAGAAGCGCAATTCCGGATGATTATATTGTATTTCTCCAAGAACATGAGGAAAATTGGGAATTGGTGGAAGAAATAATTGTCTTCCTCCATGAACAAGAATCAGATGTTGGTTTTGCGGAAGATGATCCGATCAACTTTCGTCAAGCCATGGAAAGTTCTAACTCTCAAGAATGGATTAATGCCATGAAAGATGAGATGAAGTCTATGAGTGACAATGACGTTTGGGAGATAGTCTCATTGCCTGAAGGTGTTAAACCCATTGGTTGTAAATGGATATTTAAAATCAAGAGGGATTCAAAGGGCAATGTTACAAGGTCGTCTTGTTGCTAAAGGCTACACTCAAAAGAAAGGAATTGACTGTAAAGAGACTTTCTCTCCGGTATCCTCGAAAGACTCTTTTAGAACAATAATGGCATTAGTGGCACATTTTGATCTTGAGCTTCATCAGATAGATGTAAAAACTGCATTTCTCAATGGTGACATTGAGGAATCAATCTATATGGAGCAACCAGAAAACATTGTTTCGGGAGATTCAAAGAAAATGGTTTGCAAATTAAAGAAATCCATCTATGGGCTCAAACAGGCTTCTCGTCAGTGGTATCACAAATTTCATAAAGTCATTATATCTTTTGGTTTTCAACCAAACGTCAGTGATGACATACTGCTTGCTACTAATGATATAGGCTTATTACACGAAACTAAGAAATTTCTTTCAAAGAATTTTGAAATGAAAGATCTTGGTGAGGCTTCTTTTGTATTAGGAATACAAATACACCGAGATCGCTCCAAAGGCGTTCTTGGACTCTCACAAAAGAGCTATATTGATAAGGTTCTCAAAAGGTTTGGTATGCAAGACTGCAAACCAGAAAATACCCCAGTTTCCAAAGGAGACAAGTTTAGTCTCATTCAGTGCCCTAAGAATGGTTTTGAATCTAAAGAAATGAGGAACATTCCTTATGCTTCGGCTGTAGGAAGTTTGATGTATGCCCAGATTTGTACAAGACCTGATTTGGCATACATTGTTGGGATGTTAGGCAGATATTTGAGCAATCCGGGAATGGACCATTGGAAAGCAGCCAAAAGGATCATGCGGTATTTACAGAGAACAAAGGAATATATGCTCACATATCGGAAATCGGATCAGCTTGAGATCATTGGGTATACCGACTCTGATTTTGCTGGATGTCAAGATAGCTTGAGATCCACTTCAGGCTACATCTATATTCTAGCTGGAGGAGCTATCTCCTGGAGGAGTATCAAGCAGACTCTTACATCTACTTCCACCATGGAAGCAGAGTTTATAGCATGTTATGAGGCATCCAATCAGGCATTATGGCTGCGAGATTTTGTTAGTGGATTACGCATAGTGGACAACATTGAAACACCACTTAAGCTATTGTGTGACAATAGATCAGCAGTCCTCTATGCTAAGAACAACAGTAGTTTGACCAAGGCAAAACACATTGGGGTCAAATTTAAGGCTGTTAAGGAACGAGTACAAGAAGGAAAGTTATCTATAGAGCACATTAGCACAAACTCCATGAACGGATCCGCTCACTAAAGGATTACCACCCAAAGTGTTTCATGAGCATGTTGCACAAATGGGTGTCAAATCAATTGAGGATTATGAGTTTTAGTGGGAGTTTGTAATGTTTCTATATTTGGTTAATTGACTTAATTCAAGTTTTTAAGGTTATTTTTTGCAGAAATAAAGTTTAAAATTTTATTGTACTCTTACAGTTATATTATTGTTCTCAAGGTGGACCAGTTGGAAATAGACATTCTATTCCAGACCACACTTTATGTTATTTCCACGCTACACACCTATACTTGATCCATGTCGTTTATTATGTTAATATACGTGATCATTGATGGGTCTAGTTATTCAAATATAACAAAGACTTCTTTGATCCTATGTGGATATAATTAATGGGCCGGATCGATTAAGGATGACTACAGTTTGATAGCAAAATTTTGGAGCTCCTAAAGTAAACATACAATGTTAAGGATTGTGTGTATTCATGTGTATGTCGTCCAAGTGGGAGATTGTTAGATTATTGGACTTATACTACATGTAATATTCACAATATATTATTTATCGGGTTTAATTGTATGTTATATGCTATCTTATATTTAGGCTCAAAAATTAGTGGTCCTATGGATATTAATTTAAGTGGGCTAATAAGTTATCTAATAAGGTATAGGGCCCAAATGTGTAGAGACTCATGGGCTTGACCTAATCAATGATGGGCTGATTAGGGTTAAGCACTCTCTATAAATAAGGGGTTATGGTCCCTAGTTGAACACGTCATTCCGTCTTTCTGCATCCCATCGCTAGAGAGATAATCCCGAGGGTGTGTATCAACTAGAAGACGCAAATCCTAGCCTCCGTCTCCCGGATCCCTAAAGATCATCTCCCATGGAGTCAGGTACGCTTCCGCTCAGTTAATTTCTCTAGATAATTTCAATATGAAGATTAAAGTATTATCGGATTTATTCCAACAATATCTACATACAAATATACAGACAAATGCCACACCGAGCCCTTTGTATACATTGGCTGAAATCAATGCCACATGCTTCTGTTTTCAGAAAATTCAGCTGATTCAGACACCATTTCAGACAAACGACACTTGCTAAACAAGCTCATACTCTCATAGTCATACATAGGTAATTAGGTATATAGAGCATTTTCTTTAAAAATGCATTTCCAAACCTCCCTAAAACAGCTCAAAGCTGTGTCCTGGAATGTCAATGAGAGTCCTTTCTATTTCTATATGCAGGAGAATGGAATCTTCCCTTTCCAGTAAAACAATAAAGCTTCAAATGCTATGAAATTAATCTCTCGAACTCTCACAGACGCAGTACAAATATTAAAAAAACTAAAATTAAAACTAAAAATCTAGGGATTCGTAGCTCTTAAGAAAGCAAACCTTTTAATTACTACGTACTAGTATTAGAAAAGGGTAGTGCCAATAAATATAGCAAACTATCGGAAATTACAGGTTTTGAATTAGGCTTAGATTGCAATTGACCGTCAACAGGTTATAAATTACAGTACAAAATAGGACTCACAATTGCTAAACACTACCGATCAGGGCAATTGCGACAGAAAAAGGTACCGTGATACAATTCGCAGCAAGAGCGCGCCTCAACTTCCATGTGCGAAGTCAATCGAGTGGCCGCCAGCGCGCTGTGCAGCGGAAGTAGCGATTGCGTACACCCCAGTATTCCACTAGTCCTATGATATAATGATAAACAAAAGAATTTTGAACCAGAAAATTTGAAATTAAGTATAGCAGAGATTAAATTACGAAATGCAGAGAGGAGCCAACCTGGGAAGAATGCCTGAAAGCAGGCCGCGAGATGGAATGCGCTGGCCGAAATGCGCTTGTGACCGGAGGCCGGAAATGGATTGAGAAGACCGTAGAGTAGACGTTCTTGCTGCGGAGAGAAGCGACCTGGATAGAGATCCGTAGCGTGCAGCCATTGGTGAGCAAGGTTTTTAATCTGTGAGCCCTGAACCAGGGTTTTAGATTTGCAGAACTACCATCATATTTGGGAAACACGAAATTTCTAGCTCAAATTTACTCCATTCGGGTATTTGCTTTTAAGCCCACTTTCTTTTTTGGTTCTAAATTAGCCCAACTCGTATTCAGGGTCAATAAGGACAATGCCTATATCAATAATATCATACATTCATACATCCGGGTGTATGTAGACTCATCCCGATCAAGAAAGACAGCTCAATAACTAATGCAGGCCAAACACATTTCGGTGTCATTTTTGTAGTTTAAGCGAAAAATCACGACTTCAGCTAAATGAGCATTAGTGTACTTTTAGTGAGTATCTGTCTAATTTTATTGAGTATTATGACGCTAACAATGAGCATCAATGCATTTTATAAAAACTTATTAAATTATATCTATAATACATTCCTATGCATTTTAATATGCAATTTATTGTAATATGATACTTTTGAAATATGCATTAATATGACATTTTAAAATGAGCATAATATCAGTACAATTTGAGCATACATAATTTACAAATTGTTCATTGATAAGAAAGTCGTAAGTTTGTTAGTTTCACATACCAACATTTTCATTGAGCATCAAATCTCCTATATTAAGATGAAAATCACGGTTTCGGTTGAATGAGCATTAATGATCTTTTAATGTGTATTGGACCTATTATGTTGAGTATTACGAGTCTAATATTGAGCATCGCGGTCTCTGCTTAGTAAATTATACTCCCTCCGTCCCAATTTGTATGATACTTTACGATTTACGATGTTTGACCGACGATAAAGCAAAATGATCCATATCAACACTCAAATTAGTTTTAGAAACTAAAAGTTACATATTCAGAAACTACATTAAAATCACTACAAAACCTGCAAAAAGTAATTCAAATTTAATAAACTTTTGATATATGAAGTAAAAAATTAAGAGTGATTTATGTTGACCAAGTGAATAGTAAATGCATCTTACAATTTGGGACTGAGGGAGTAATTAACTTTCTTTTTGTTATTTTTTCTTTTATAAAAACTTATTAAATTATATTTATGATCAACTCCTATGAATTTCAATATGCAAATATAATGTAATGTAATACTTTTGAAACATGAATTATATGACATTTTAAAATAAGCATAACATCAGTACCAAATGAGCATATGTACGTAACTTGCAAAATGATCATTGATATGAAAAATGTAAGTTTTGTTGGTTGAGCATCGAGACATTTTCATTAAGCAGCAAACCTCCGCTATTAGTGTTAGAATCGTGTGGTTGAGTATCATGATTTGCGCTCTCGTGTCTATAATCAATAAACTCCTGTGTGAATATATTGTATTATGGTACTTTTGAAATATGCATTGATATAAAATATTAAAAAAGAGCATAACAACAATATCAAATGAGCATAATTTACCTAGCAAATAAGCAATGATATGAAAATCATAAGCTTTGTTAGTTGAGCATCAAGACACTTTCATTGTACATCAAACCTCATCCATTGAGTATCAGAAGAATGCAATTGAATATCATAATCCATACTCTCATGTGTATAATTTAACTCTTATGCGAATTTAATATGATACTTTTGAAATATGTATTAAGATGACATTTTAAAATGAGTATAAAACCAGTATTAGATAAACATACGTAACTTACAAATGAGCATCAAAAAATTGAAAAGTTCATTTGAATTCTCTAATGTGTTCAATTGTTCATTTTTGCACATATAATGACAAATATATATTAATTTTATATTAAAAATAATTTATATCTTTCGTTTTCGAAGTACATTTATAATCGAGTTCTTTTTATAATGTTTACTCATGCGTATTTAGTTCACACTATACTCATTTTAGTACCAAGTATAACACAAAACTAATGTTAGTAGTTAACACACAATATTTAAGAAACTAATAAATAATCTTAATTTAAAAATATAAAAATAAAAAATTAATACCTAAAATATTTTATAATGCAAAAACAGAAAAAACTTAATTTAGAAGTTTGATTGGAAAAAGTAAAAACAGACTAGGACACTTAATAATATATTTATAATATTTTATATTATTTTCATAATAATTGAATATAAAAGTAGAGTAGAAGGTTGCTAAAGAAAAAAACAAAAAAAATAGGAGAACAAACAATAAAAAACAAAAAACAAAAACAGGGCAAACAATAAAAATAAAAATAAAAAAGAAATGAAAACATACAATAGCAACAATGAGCGCAGGAGGTGGAAGGAGTCTGCATGCGGAGCTGTGGATAATGAAACAGCCAGCTGAGGAGAACCGTAAAACTTCAAAGTGATGCCTCAATGTTTAAACCAATTACGTAGTATAAAAAACCGGATGTATACGTACACCCGGGTGTACCTTATAATTTGCCCAATAATTGAGGGCTATTAAAATACTTGTAGTTTAAAATCTAAAAATACTTTCTTATACATGGAAAACTATCAAATAAGTTCTCGACTGTTTCAATTTTCACAAAAAAAAAATCAATTGAGAACCTCAACCAAACGAACACAATCAAACTCATGAACACCGGCAAATACTTTTTAGCCGATAAAAAATGTATAATACTCCCTTGTATTTTTGGAGTAGATTTTTTTTTGTTGAGGGTAGAGTGAAGTCACCTCGAGCAATGGAGCCCCTTGACAAAGAAATCTTATAGTGTTTTATTGTATCAAAAGTCAAAACTATAAACAAGAATGCAACATAACTCTACAGTTTAGTAAAAAATACCCTTTAGCAGTAATTCAACAAATAAATAATGCAACACTTCCAAATGTAACAAGTTAAGAGAATCTCCAATGCTACAATGTGCACGGTGCACATGTGGCATGTGAGATAGTCACATAATTACTACGAAATAAATTATCTCTTTTCTTATTTGGATGGTTTTATTAACTTTTGATAAGTTTTTCTCCACAATGTTTAGAAGACCGTCTAGATGTTGACATTGTGGTTGATATTGCAGAGAAAAACTTATCAAAATTGTATGAAAACATTCAAATAAGGAGATAGATAATTTATTTGATAGCATTTATGTGGTTCTCTCTCATGCCACATGTGAGAGAATGCATACGCAAGATAGATTGCTCACTTTTTCTTGGACTCGGTATGCAAGAAATAGCTACTTCCGCTGCATCATTAAAATTTCGTCTAAAAATTCTACCAATAAACTACTCCGTATAATACTCTCTCCGTATTTAAAAGATCAATACATTAGGTTTTGGTACAATATTTAAGAGGGGAATAGTAGATGTAATGAATTGTGTAGAAAAAGTTACCAAAAGGGAAAGTGTAGCAAATTTTAAAAAATCTCCCGCACCAAAACCCCAGGTGAAATATAAAATCGGTTCATTAGCCTTATATGATTAAAAAAATGTGTCAAACCTCCATGCGTTATGATTATTCATGCGCAAAACCCCTTCTATGAACATGTATAATTGCAAAAAATGAGAAATAATCAGGCTTTTTGTATAATTTAGAAATTTTGATAAAGTTATATTACTTTCATATTCAATAATATTATTAAGAAAAGTAATTTCAAAAACTGTAATTTGTCCTTGGAGGGGTTTTTGCGCATGAATAATTATAACACAGGGGGTTTGATGCATTTTTTAAATCATAAGGGGCTAATTCGCCGAATTTATATTATACAAGAGGTTTCAATGCATTAAACCCAAAAGTGTGGTAAACTTTTAAATATGGGCTATGAAAATTCCTCTAAGACCACTTGGAGTGATGAGGTATTAGAAGTCAAAAATGTTAAAAGTGAAATTTTTAGACTCTTAAATCATTGTTGTGGTCGGCTAAATGGAGGAGTAAAAATGGAGAATGAGGATGGAGGAGGGTATATATGAAGGGTGTGGAAGGAAGGAGGCTAGAAAAAGGGAAGGGGTGGGGTCAACACATGTGGTACAGAGAGGGGAAAAGGGGGCAAAAGGCAAGTGGGTCATGTGGCTATTTGGGATGTGCACAGGAAATATTTAGGGTGATGATGTCAGACTGATTTCGTGCTGATGTCAAAGAGCACTCATTTTTAAAAATATTGGTAGATCAAACGGTTGTGATGATTTGGACACTGTTTGAATGGGAAAAATATTGATCCAACGGCTGAAATTAAAATTCAACGGTTGAAATAACTTATTTAATTTTTCCATTATTTTTAATTAATATTTTGTACGAAAATCCTTTAATATTTTTCCAATGTGTTTGAACTCACTTAATCGAAAAACGTAAAAAAATTATTAATGAAATTTGTTTTTTTACATCGAAATGGGTCTTTTTTATTTTGTAATTAATCAGAGAAAAAAATAAAGGAAAAACAGTACTTATAATAATTTAATTAATGTTTTACTAAATTGATATGTAAAAAGTGTGCAAAGTTTATTTTATTGACGGTGCTGGAATGCAGAGAAATAGGAGTCAAAACACTGTTTTCATATGAAAGGAGTGCATTTTTTATATTTAGACTCTTCCATCCTTCAAATGGTCTAAGTACGTGTAATTGAAATGTAAGACTACCAAAACCTTTTAATAAAAGGAAAAACATCTGGTCAATTGCCATGAAAGAGGTAAGTTTAAAAGAACAAATTGGAACTCAATATGACCCAGACATATCAGAAAAGTCATAGACCATTTTGTCAAACATAAACTTTAGCTGTCTTTCGGGCAATATAAATATAACAAATACAGAGTCTTTGAATTTCATAGCTAAATCAAGAAATATTAACTCCGAAATTAAAAGAAAGATAAGATGACGGAAACAACTTTATTGTACGCATTTCTCGCTGTTATTTTCCTCGTAGCAGCTCTAAAACGCCTCCCATGGAGGAGACATCAAAACCTTCCTCCAACTCCATACCCGAAACTCCCCATCCTAGGCCACCTACATCTCCTTAAACAGCCGCTGCACCGCAGCCTGCAAAAGATCTCTCTCAAATACGGCCCAATCGTCACCCTCCAGCTCGGCGTCCGCCGTGTCGTCGTGGTGTCTTCACCGGCGGCGGTGGAAGAATGTTTCACCAAAAACGACGTCGTTTTAGCCAACCGCCCCCGCATCATGGTTGGGAAATACATCGGCTACAACTACACCGTCTTGACGGCCGCGCCCTACGGCGACCACTGGCGGAACCTCCGCCGCATCTGCTCACTGGAGCTCTTCTCCGCCACTCGGCTCAACGCGTTTAAATCGATCCGGCAGGACGAAGTTCGGATTCTATTGCAGAAATTGCTCCAAGTCTCGAGTCAAGGGTTTGAAGCAGTTGAACTGAGGCCGAAATTCTCCCAGCTGTCCTTCAACGTGATTTTGAGGATGGTCGCCGGGAAACGATACTACGGCGTGGAGGAGGAGAACAAAGAGGCTAAGGATTTCAGGGAGATAATGAAAGGCGTCTTCAAGTACGGCGGAGCCTCTAATCCCCTGGATTTTTTGCCGATTTTAAGATGGGTGAATTACAAGAATCTGGAGCCGGACTTGAAGAAGCTGGCTGCAAAATTGGATTCATTCTTGCAAGGACTTATTGATGAGCACCGTCGGGATAGGGGCAGGAACTCCATGATTAATCATCTGCTCTCTTTGCAAGAATCACAACCAGAGTATTACACGGATCAAATCATCAAAGGGTTAATGATGGTGAGTCAATAAGTCTACAATTTACGTTTTAATTGGACTGGTTTCATACTTCAGTGCCATTTAAAATCATTCTGAAGTCCATAGCTTTTTCATACCTTAATCTAACAAGTTCATAACTAGCAAACTGTAATTTTTTTATGCTCGTTTCCTTTTCAATTCTAGAAAAATAGCTTTGACAGAAATTTACATCCACTACATATTCATAGTGACTTTATCATATTTTTGTGTATAACTTTTGTATCCCTAATATTGTCTCATTACACAAGTACTAGGTCTTTTTTTGGGTAAATGCCGTTTTAGAAAAGTCAAAGAATGCAAAAAGAGAGGAGGACCAAACCAAAACCTCTCCTAGAAAGTATACCTTCTCCAAAAAGCACATTGAAACAAAAATAAAGATAAAAGAAAAATATTTTTTTGGGGGACATAAATCTTACCCAAAAATAAATACAACAAAGGTAAATTAAAATCTAAAGGAAGCCAGACCCAATTTATCTGCCAGAAAACATTTCCGAACTTTAGAAGGCAGGTCTCAGACATTATAATAAACCTGCAAGAAACATTCATTTGAACTAAAATCTTAAGCTATGCCATGATCTGATTATATTTGTTTCAGTTTGGTTTGCACTGGTTTGTTTAAATTTGGTTCTATCTATATAGTTTTGTATGTTCTTAACAAATTTGGTGCAAAGTCAGGTATATTATTATGTGAATATGTGTATTTTATTACGGAGTATAATCCAAGTCTAGTTTGGTTTTGTTTGGTTGATTAAGTATGTCCTGTGTGGAAGTATCAAGCCCAAAAGAACTATCATACTTTACGCATGTGATGGAATTATTTAGAGCACTCCTGATAGTACTATGTTGATGAATAAGCTGAATCTACTAATACAGATGAAGTTGTGATTAAATGTACTGAAATGGTGAATTATGAATTCATTATATTTACGATATTAATTAAAAAAATAGACATTTATAATAAATTAAACTAAGAAGTAACATTTTTCTCGTTGTAAATTTAGTAGGCATCTATGTATAGTGTCTACTTAAATAGGAACTTATTCTAAATATGTTGACATTTTTACGAACAACAATAATAGGTGATGCTGCTAGCAGGGACAGACACTTCATCGGTGACGCTGGAGTGGGCAATATCCAGTCTGCTTAACCATCCGAGGCTTCTCCATAAAGCTAGATACGAGATCGATAATGTAGTCGGACAACACCGAGCTATTGAGGAAGAAGACCTACCAAAACTAAACTACCTCCACAGTATAATCTTAGAGACATTCCGGTTGTTTCCTGCCACGCCCTTATTGTTGCCTCACTACTCGTCCGAAGATTGTAAAATCGGGGGATACGATATTCCCCAGGGTACGATGCTGTTGGTTAACGCATGGGCCATCCACAGGGACCCAGAGATATGGGATGACCCCTCAAGCTTTAAACCGGAAAGGTTTGACGGCTTACATGTAGAGTCAACGAAGCTTTTGCCATTCGGAATGGGGAGGAGGTCGTGTCCGGGGTCTGGGCTAGCTCAAAAGGTTGTTGGGTTGGCCTTGGGGTCTTTGATACAGTGCTTTGAGTGGGAAAGGACTGGGGAAGAGGATGTTGGTTTCGGGGAAGGGGTTGGCGTCACAGTTTCTAAAGCTGAGCCCCTCGTTGCCAGATGCAAAGCCCGCGATTTCACTCACACCATTTTGTCACAAAAAGCCTAGGCCTGCGGATATTGTACATTGTATTTGGTTAAGAACGACATATGATTTGGATTGTGAGTTTACTTGTTAATTTCAAAATTATGTTATGAAAAAATAGCATGTTTGAAACGCCGGATGTGATCTAAAATTAGCATATGAATAATATTTATATCTGGTGTATAATTAAAATTGACAAGGAAAGTCAATGACGACTAACAAGGGACGGAGGTACTACATAGGGATGGACTGGGGCCCGGGCCGTGAACCGGCCCGGCCTGCTATTATGTGGGCCCGGGCCGGGCCGGTCTTGGGTAACCGGTTCCGGGCCTAGGCTCAGCCTGGGGATTGGGCCGGACCGGGTATGGGCCTTAAATATAGTTAACTGGCCCGGGCCTTTTTTTGGGTTTTCAATTTTTATTTTGTTTTTCCCGGGTAGGGTTGGGTGTTTCTGGGGGGGTTGGGGGTGGGGGTGAGGGAGTTAATTAGAAAAGCAAAAGCAAAAAAAAACATTGAATCGGACCGGCCCAGCCTGGAACTGCTGGCTACCCGGGCCGCTTCTGGGCCTCACTTCCCCCCAAAAAAGCCTGGTCGGGCCCAGCCCGATACCCTGCCCGACCCGGAACGGGTCCATCCCTAGTACTACATTATACTCCTTATTCATACATCAAAATCGTGAATGCTCCCTAGTCCCTCCAATTACACAAAGGCTACTATAGTGGTTTCTCTTTGGATGATCAAGTGTTCAGCTAATGAATTTGATGGAATGCCTCGTTTTTTAGTTTCCTCAGCATGTTAGACTCACTCTCCATATTGTTGGAAAGTTCATGTGAATAAGGGTCATATGCTCTGCACTACACTTGCTAACACTACATTAAAATTCATTATTTCATTTTATTTTAATTTGGTGCTATGGTGTTTAAACAAAAATAGTCATCATCATTACCCCATTGTCGCAAAGGCTCTCACACCTTCGGTGGGATAAGGGGGGTCGGATGTACGCAGTCTTATCTCTGTACTAAAGCACAGAGAGATTGTTTTCGGATGACCCATAGTGACAACCGCGTCCAAAATTGCATGGTTTGACTGATGCTTCATAACAAAGAAGTGCAGACAGTTTAGTAAGTCATTTTGCTTTATTCCATCATATTTTCAAGCCAAAAATAGTGAGTCTTAGGCTCTATTGCAAATGATGGAAACAAAAATAGTGAGTATTTAAACAAAAATAGTATTGAAAAAATATAACTACAATTGGTTTTTCATGCGATTTTACTAAAAGAGAATTTGTGAATAAAAGAGGTGTTTGGAATTTATTTCTCCCGTCTTCCACAAAAATTGCTCATGCGAGCATTTTGGAGTTACCATAAGTACTTCTATTATTCTATACTTCATCCAAACACTTCAATATCTGCTTTTGTTTTCTGAAGGAACAGAAGTAGTTGTAAGAAGTAGATCCAAATGGTCCAAAATTTTTTTGCTTATGTAACAAGGGTCAACTATTGTTAACATAGTAGTTATTCCGTCCAAACAATTAGTGGAACCATTTTCTATTAACGTCCCTTGACAACCTCTTCAATGCGTTCATTCATGTATGTTTTCATGCGGTTATCAAGATCTTGGGAACCGCCTCTCAAGACGTTGTATGTTCTTCCATAGAAATATGTACATTTTTCTCTTCGCTTTTGATCTTCTACACGGGTACACGCTCTTGATAAAATCTAAGACAAAGTGTACAATGTATACATCTAGAATTCTAGACTATAAAATATCTCTAATATATTTTCTATATTTCTAATAGCTCTCTCTACACATGGTATTCCTTTCATTCTTTTCTTGCCCAAAACAAATATTATTGCTGTAATAACTCAGTTGTTTTGCTTTTTTAAATACCGTTTCTGATTGAACAATTTAGAAGATTTCAAGTTCCGCTTCTTTTTCTGAGGCGGTAGAAAACTATTCTTACTTAATACCTCTAACGTAGTTCACAATAGTCACTGAAATTATATTTGTAAAAGTTCAAAGTTTATGAGGTTTATCTGTCATGCTTCGTTTATGTATACACAAATCTATCTTTGTCGATTGGCTTCAATCTTATGAAGCTAGCATTGATCTTCTGCACACAATACCTATTTACTCCACATATGACATCCAAAGTCCAGACAATAACTTCTACTGATTTTATCTGATGTTAGGCAGTTAGTGGTTACACACTTCTTTAGGGCCTTTGGGTGTTATGCTTATACACTACGTACCATTCTCAATGGGTAAAATTACTGCCCCACATTGGGAGTGGAAGCTTTCCTTACTGATGTACACAATAACATACGTAGTAATAGAGAACATTCGTTTAAAAAGTATCACAGGTTGCTTGAAACAAAATTTCTAAGGGAAGCTCATTTGCTTCATTGATTGTTCGGTGGGATGCAAAATGTAACGACTCTGCTGGGAAGAACCACATGTTAATTTTTTTGGAAGAAGGGGGCTTAGATAGATATCAAAGCATTCAGATAGGGGTTAAAACAACAAAAGAACCACATGTAACCATCAGCCCTTGAATCAGATTTTGAGTTAATCACTTTTGAAAAAACAATATAACTCGTTGATCCTAAATTGTGCACAATCAAATTGGGCCCTTCAATCCTGATGCAAGAGTCTTACGCCATAAAAGCAATTGAAAGCAAACAACAACAGTGTGAACCTGGAAATTATAAAAAATGCAAAGAAATAATCACTATAATTAGTCCTCCTAAGCAGAATCACCAGTCGCACGTATGGCGGGTCTAGAGACCCGGACCCGCCGCCTCCCCGTTTTTTTGGATTGTCTAGAGACATATTATCGCCTCTTGGGTCCTCTTGTGATTGTTCTTATCATATCCTTCTGCGCTTTTGATCCCTTGGCACCTCATCAGTGTTGTTCATGTCTCCTTCCTTGGTCACACTGTTACATGTACCCGTTGTGGACTTGCGCCATCCCTATCCCTTTGTCCCTTCACTAAAAATATCTTTTCAGCTAATTGTGACAAACATACCCTAAATAATTGTAAAATAGCTTTTATGAGCGATTTCTTAAGCATTAATGTCTAAATTAAAGGTTACCGTCTAAATTGATAATTGTTATCTGAAATTGAATTTTGAATTACTGATCTGAAATGCTAGTTGTATTAAATAGATCCGGTTGAATTTAAGAGGTGAATGAGTGTGTGAAAAAACTTAAAATTACATTTAAAAAACACCTTTGCAACTAAGCCATTTTTTCTTAGTGTAAAAATAAATTATCACTTAATAAAGATGCAAACAAGAAAAGTATAAGTATATTGAACTAACTAACCCTTAATCCCTCAATGATGAAGTAGTTTGCACTTATGGTTAGAAAAAAGGTTTTATAAATTAATGTATTGGTCATTTTAGAACTAAAATTGTAAGACTCACAAATCTATGCTAATAGTGCTCAATAAAGTATTTTAGCTAATAAAATAACACTTAACAAGTGATTTGTATATAAAGTGATCGAAACACTTTACTACTAATACCGCAGATAAGAGTAATAGAGCTAGTAAAGACAATTAGAGAAGATTCACAAAAATAATTTTGTTGTATATAAAATCAACATGATCCTCTCATATTTATAGGTAAGAGGTGACCCAAAGAGAAGAGACTATAACCATTTCAACCAAATGTGGTTGACTGGCTGTTATGCCTATCAAAAGGAAACAGTGCGACATTTGCAAAAGGATACGTAGATTCTTTTATAAGCATTTTAAAATCATATTTAAAATTTTGTCCTTATCCAAACATGCATGTGCCACATAACCTTATTTTTGTAAAATAATACATATCAATTTAATATATGGAAAAGTGCATAAGAGTTAACATATTTAAGTAATATTATTATAATCAGTATGTGATCATATGTGCACAAAATGTTCTCATAATATATACTATGTATAATAATCATTATATTGAAATAACATCATTTTAATAAATCACATAGTTTATTAATAAAATGATTATGGACCATGTAAATTAACAATTGAGTTTTATTTTTAATAGATCTCCAACACTCCTCCATTTATTGACAAATAAACATGCTCAATTCCTGCCAAATAGACCACTTATCAAGACTTATGCATAATTGAAAGTATTTTAAAAATTGAACTTTCATTTAATACAATATTCTTTACAATATTTCGGATCATAATAGTAGACTAAAGTTTGAACTATATAACCGCTTTGAAATACTAAAAATATTAAACACATAAATCTTTATACAATTTCACTTATGAACTTGACACCATTAACGACTTTGTGTCCATATCCATTCATGAGCTCCAACAAGTAAAGCCTTAAACTTGGTGAATCAGCCGCAATTCTATCTCACATAGGTGGTAGGTCTTTTCAAACTGTGTTCTGCAATCAAACACTATCAAAAGATCTATTAAGACATAGTCAACCTCATTACACATTGCAGACTCAAGCACTTACCTCTGAATGGTTATTATACAAAACTGCTTCAATCACGGAGTGACTTACTCATCGTCATTGAACTCAAGATCTAGCGTTGTATTAGACGTTGAGTTGAACTTTCTTTCACTTGTGATTATATTCTAAGGGCTTTAACCTCATCTCTTTTGCAGTTTTGTACACCATGCCCCTTGGCATCGCCTTTGTAAAAGGATCCGCCAAATTCACACGTGATCGTATAAAATCAATCACAACAACTCCATAACTTATAAGCTCCCGCACATAGCTATGTCTCACTCCTATGTGCCTTGACTTACCATTGTACACATGGTTATAATCTTTTGACAGAGTTGATGCACTATCACAATGGATTGATATTGGAGCCATAGGTTTAGGCCATATCGGGATCTCTGAAACGAAGTCTTTTAGCCATTCCACTTCTTTACAAACCGATGCTAACGCTATGAACTCTGAAGCCATGGTAGAGTTAGTGATACAAGTGTGTTTCTTAGATGCTTGTTGAGGTTTAGTCCCGTAGATCCGAAATCCCAACACACGCTTTGGATATTAAGGATGTGGAAAATAGGTTGAAGGTAAAAGAAAATATAAAAGCTGAGTAATATTGTGCTCAAAAGCCCACTTGCATTAAGTAATTCGTTGATTACACAGAAACTTCCCGAACGGCACGTCGGAACAGTAACTAATACAAGAACAAGACTGAGAAAGCTATTCTA